TTCCCATTTCCAGAACGTACCCTCACTGCCGTCGAATTCGCTCAACAAGTCGCGAATAGCCCTTACACTTTCGCTCATCGGTGGACCATTACGTCTTCTTCCGCCATCATTCATCTGCGGTGCTCCATGATCTTCGATGTTCTCTCGTCTAACGATATCTAATTCACGTTGAAGAAGAGCTCGTTCTCTTCTAAGTAGTTCATTTTCTCGTCGAATCAAGTCATTCTCAGTCAAAGGACCTTCAACGGATGCGTCGTTACTTACTTGGCTTTCATTGTCCTTGCCCGCGACGGCATCCCTCGATTCATGGCCCGCGTCAATCGGCTGATCGACACCGCGGCTCTGCCGTGACCTCTGTTCATCCAGTGTGGTCCATATCTCCGGGTCATTGGCAGTCAATCGATCTATCAGGTCAGCTTTGTTACCGGTCGCCGGCAATTTCTTCTCGCGGAGAATGTCCTTAATCTCGGCAAGCGTATACGCACTCGGCGGTCTCGCCATTGTTAGTGACACACTGCACTTCCCTTTTCTATACGTCCTAGCACACAGCGACGTGTTAATAAATGTTTAACCTCAGTCAAAATGTTCGCGACACACGTCGGCACAATTAGCACACAGCAAAGATTCGCGGTACACAGCGCGAATTACCGTCAAAATATTCGCGACACACAGCGCGGAATATTCTATCTCACAGGGATATCGCGTTACACGTCGATTCACCGCGCGCGATACGTGGACTCGCTTTCTCTCGTACGCGGCGGAACAATTAGCACGCAGCAAAGATTCGCGGCACACAGCGCGAATTACCGTCAAAATATTCGTGGCACACAGCGCGGAATATTCGGTCTTTCAGCACGCAGCAAAGATTCGCGGCACACAGCGCGAATTACCGTCAAAATATTCGCGACACACAGCGCGGAATATTCTATCTCACAGGGATATCGCGTTACGCGTCGATTCACCGCGCGCGATACGTGGACTTGCTTCCTCTCGTACGCGGCGGAACAATTAGCACGCAGCAAAGATTCGCGGCACACAGCGCGAATTACCGTCAAAATATTCGTGGCACACAGCGCGGAATATTCTGTCTTTTTGCACGCAGCAAAGATTCGCGGCACACAGCGCGAATTACCGTCAAAATATTCGCGACACACAGCGCGGAATATTCTATCTCACAAGGATATCGCGTTACACGTCGATTCACCGCGCGCGATACGTGGACTCGCTTTCTCTCGTACGCGGCGGAACAATTAGCACGCAGCAAAGATTCGCGGCACACAGCGCGAATTACCGTCAAAATATTCGTGGCACACAGCGCGGAATATTCTGTCTTTTAGCACGCAGCAAAGATTCGCGGCACACAGCGCGAATAACCGTCAAAATATTCGTGGCACACAGCGCGGAATATTCTGTCTTTTTGCACGCAGCAAAGATTCGCGGCACACAGCGCGAATAACCGTCAAAATATTCGTGGCACACAGCGCGGAATATTCTGTCTTTTAGCACGCAGCAAAGATTCGCGGCACACAGCGCGAATAACCATCAAAATATTCGTGGCACACAGCGCGGAATATTCTGTCTTTTAGCACGCAGCAAAGATTCGCGGCACACAGCGCGAATAACCATCAAAATATTCGTGGCACACAGCGCGGAATATTCTGTCTTTTAGCACGCAGCAAAGATTCGCGGCACACAGCGCGAATAACCATCAAAATATTCGTGGCACACAGCGCGGAATATTCTGTCTTTTAGCACGCAGCAAAGATTCGCGGCACACAGCGCGAATAACCTTCAAAATATTCGTGGCACACAGCGCGGAATATTCTGTCTTTTAGCACGAGCAAAGATTCGCGGCACACAGCGCGAATAACCTTCAAAATATTCGTGGCACACAGCGCGGAATATTCTGTCTTTTAGCACGAGCAAAGATTCGCGGCACACAGCGCGAATAACCTTCAAAATATTCGTGGCACACAGCGCGGAATATTCTGTCTTTTAGCACGAGCAAAGATTCGCGGCACACAGCGCGAATAGCCTTCAAAATATTCGTGGCACACAGCGCGGAATATTCTGTCTTTTAGCACGAGCAAAGATTCGCGGCACACAGCGCGAATAGCCTTCAAAATATTCGTGGCACACAGCGCGGAATATTCTGTCTTTTTACTCGAGTAACACAAGACACGGTTTTCTCTGCATCGACCACAACACTTGGTCGTACTTTTCAAAGTCCCGTGTATCTCTCGTGCGTGTATTAACCTCACGGATCCTTCGCTAACTTCTTCTTCGATCCCACTTCTGAAGTTGTAGGTGGTGTCAGGATAGTTTTAGATGATGTCAGGGCGTAATTCTAATAAGGCTTCTAGTGGATCTTAACAAAGGATCTTTATTAGGTTAAACTGTACTCGATAGGACACGCACGACGGCTCGCACTCTGCGAGGAACTGTCCAACCGCTCTCCCTTTCCGCGGGGAACTGACCTTCTTAACCTTCTCCCTTCTTTCTTACGCAGCGCCGCCAGGGGGGGAGAGGAAACGTAATTCGCCGCTCACGCGTGTATATAAATGAATATCGGTAGAATAATAATTCGCCTACACAATGTATGAAAAAAAAAATAAACTAAATAATAAACAAATTAATATAAATAAAATTACGATATAAATGTAAAATCAATAAAAAGCTGAATTATAAAAAGAAACAAAATATGTTTGTAGAATAAACAAATATATAATTTTAATTAAAAAGTTTAATATATTATTTTAAATAACGCGTTTAATATGATATACCTATAATATATTTATACCTTCGCTTACGTACCATATTTTATTATTATCAATAAGGAAAAACGCGCTCGCGATACTCCGCACGTGAAGCAGTCCCGCGCGAACCGCGCAGCATAATGAACATATGAGATATGTATTAGGGTACAATCCGTTTCATACATGATGCGGATAATGCATCAATTATCCATGTTGTTCACTAAATATTAAACAAAAATAAATGATACATTATGCATGAAACAGAATGTACCTTTAATCAGATGAAAGCGCGGATATTTTGATCGAAAGATTTTTGTAGAAAATTATATTTTTTTTGTTTTTTATTAAAAATTTATATATTGATTTTTATGAATCACGTAATTAATAAATATATTTCTATGCATGCATTGTAATAATCATTTTATATATGTGTTGCAATTTGTAAAGTTTTATTATCAAAGACTAATACACCTTCGCTTTGCGCACGTAATTATATATTCGATTAAACTAAACAAAATGAGAAAAAATATATAAAGAGATACATTTATACAAAATAGTTCTCAAACAATACAAATAGAAATTCGGCAAATTAAAATTATGTACATAATAGAAATTCAATAAATTAAAATTATATACATGATAGAAATTTGGGTATTAAAATTATGTACACAATAGAAATTCGGCGAATTAAAATTATTTACATAATAGAAATTCAGCGAATTAAAATGATGTATATTATAGAAACTCGGCGAATTAAAATTATGTATAATAATAGAAATTCGACGAATTAAAATTATAGTATCAAGCAACTGTTATTGTGAAGATTAACAATTTGACAGTTGTAAAATAAGCAATAGAAATACCTTGGAATCAAACTTAGCTTTTTGGGAATCAGAGAAAAATTTTGCCACAATTTCTACACAAAAATATATATCAAGTATGTAGTATGTATAAATAATGTATAATATTCTTATTGTCGATATTTTGAAATGTCTTATATATTGCAAAATAAAAATTAAATTTAATTTATTAAAAATTATCTAAATCGCTTTCGTATCGTTTTGTTTTAACTTTTTAAAATCGTATATAAAATCGTATAATATATAAATGGCAGGAAAAAATAATAGTATAGACAATATTTTATTATTTAACTGCTGTAGATTGTGTCCATTAATTTTTTTATAAATTCATGTATATTATATATGTATTTTGACATTTAAAAACAAAAATTTTATTGTTTATATTATTGAATGTAGTCAATTAATTATACAGCATTGAAAAAGAGGCGTCCAGATCGCAGCCAATCACTGCGTTCGACGTACTTACCTATCTATGTACTTACCTATCTATGTACTTACCACGTTTTCCGAAAAAGATAAAGACACTCAACTTTCGTAAGTCTATCAAGCAAGTAACACCTGTGATACTAGTGTACAATTATATTAAGAATAAAGACTATAATTTATATACTAAATACTCTGTTCCTGTGTGAATCCGCCACACAATTGGTGGCTCCGAAATACAGCTGCAGGCTAAATTGTAATGGCTGAAAACCAACAACTCGTTGATACAAAATACCTATTACTGACATTAATAAACGAGTTAAGACGCATATTCGAGAGATGTAATTCATCTTGCCGAGCTCGAACTTTTACCTACATTTTCCTCGCATTCTGTACTTTTATCTGAAATGGAATTTAGTCCAAGACGAGAGTCATCGAACATGTAGTAGCAAAACAAATGAGTTCGCAAATTCAAGACACAATAGTCGTTTCCCGGCGATTTATTACTTATTATTATTCCTCAATTAGAACAAAAAGATAATTTTTCATAAATAAAACTAATATTAAGAATTATAATACTAATATTAGGAAAAATAAAACTAATATTAGAGGAAAAATAAAACTAATATCAGGAAAAATAAAATTAATATTAGAAAAGTAAAACTAATATTATAGGTAAAATGTATTTTTGGCAAGTTCTTAAGTATTAAAAGTTAATATATAAAATTGAGAAATAGCACGTAGCGCGCGCTTTCGTTGCTCTATATAGTACATAAAAAAAGCGCGCGGCAAAATAAAGCAGCTTAATATCATGTGATATTACTTATATGTGTTACTAGCGTAATTTTATAAAGCTATTATAGTGACAGAATTTACACTATAATTATGTCATAGTTTACTATATAATATTTAGTTTTATAAAATTTTATAATATTTAGTTTTATAAAATTCTGAAAGTTTTCTCCTAAATATTGCACGTTATTCATAATATTAATTTACATATTTTGTCCTCTGTGTAATTATAGCGACGTCTTCGGGGTAAAGTTTTGTTAGCATTTCATTTGGTACGTAATGCGTATTTTCGAATTTACAAAAATAGCGACCAATTTCGTAATTATCGATCCATTTTGGCGATGTTAATGTGAGATTGTCTAAAATAAAAAAAATATAAATAAGAAACAATGTACGAAAAGTAAAACAAATAATAAACAAATTAATAAATGAAATGTATTATAACTGCAAAATCAGTAAAAACCGAATTATAAAAAAAATAAAATGTTCGTAGAATAAACAATATATAATGTTCAATAAAACACGTTCAATATGATATATAATATATTCATACCTTCATTCACGTAACATATTTTATCATTATCGGTAAGAATAATATAATTTGTTTGTCGCTTTATAAACTCATAATTGTGACAATGATTCAACGGCAAGAAATCTATTTCTGTTGTATGATTTACTGCAGACCATCCGTCGTAATAATCTATAGATCGGGTGTAAAAATTTCAAAACATCTGTCTGTATGACGATCCCATCTGATTATGACGCCGTCGCAATTATTGCACTCATTACGATGTGTTACGATCATTCCTACCCCAAACTTTACGTCTTCTGTTCTAATGAAATGCCCTGTTTTTTTTAAACGAAGCCTTTTTATCTGAAAAGATTAATATTATACTTTTATTTATCACTCTTATCATTTAATTCTTAAATGATAACACTTATAGCAAATTTAATTACACTTATTGTTAAATTATAAATAATTATAACTCATATGTGTATATAGCTGTACGTATCAAAGAGAAAGGAGAGACATTTTTTATTACTATTATAATATCTTTTAATGCACGCGGCGTGTATAGTGCAAACATACTTTAAATTCTCTTTTACGTATTACGTAGATCAATCCTATTACGCTGCTTAATCTGAGAAGTGTTATAGTGGTATGTCAAATCCGCAACTCTTAGCATTAACTCGTCTCGCATCTGACATCGTGATACTATATCAAAGCATTCGTCCATATTAAAGCAAGGAAGTTTATATACATGCCACGAATTAAACTCATACAGTTTATTGACAAGACAATCCGGGAATTTCCCAAAAGTTATACTAAAACATCTTTTATTTTCTGGATTAATCGTGTCACTACAAAGCAAAAAAAATTATTTATCTATTATGCGCACTTGTGTATGTAGAAAGTGAAAATACTTTTTCAAAGATTTAAATAATTCCAAATTTAATTTTATACTACTTACTATATTGATATCCAATATATACAGGGGGGTAGTTCTGATCGACCATCGAGTCCTACAATTTCGCAACGTAGACCAAGTCTACTGGCCACGCTGTGATATATTATTATTAAAATAATTTGTTGTCCATATATACTTTTTAATACATATGCCAGAAATTATAATAAATTAATGAGAGAATGACAGTATTTTTAATCTCTAAAAACTCACTTTTAAAAAAAGGTAAAAAAAGGCGACCAGTTAAGGGCACGCCATTAACAAAAATTATCCATTGCAAACCTATGTGGAATCCTATGAAAAATTAACCATTGCAAATCCATGTAGAATCCTATGAAAAATTAATCATTGCAAACCCATGTAGAATTGTATTAAAAATTATCCATTGCAAACTTATGTAGAATCCTACATTGCAAACCCATGTACAATAGAATTGTATGAAAAATTATCGATTATAAACCCATGTACAATCGTAACAAAAGTAATGAAATAAAAAAAAATTACGACAAGTGAAAGTAGAAACTTGTACCAGTGGAAAATTAAAGTTGCAGACATATATAGAGTCGTATAATGAATCAGTAAAAATTTAAATTTGAAAATGTAGAATCGTACCATAAAAAACTTATTTTTAAAAAAAAAAAGATAAACAAGATGCCAAGTCCATGCGCCATGTGAAAAAGTGTTAAACAAAAAAGTATTTTTAAATAAAAAAATATATCAATTGAAAAAAATTTATGTTCTAAAATTAATATCTCTACAAAAAGTAATGTCCAAAAATTGCGCGAATAAATAAACATTTTTATAAAAAATTAAAATTTAAAAACTTATGCAAATTTAAAATTAATATAAAATAAAAAGAAATAAAAAAATTTTAGTTAAAAAAACTTGGCGCCCTGTTAAATAATATTCTAATAATATTAAAATTAAATTGTTACTTTTAAACTCATTGCAGTTAAAATATGTTTTGTGTTTAAATTAATTAATGTTACTTTAAGGTGCATTGTAATTTTTAAACTTAGCAGCGCGCCCAGTTTTTTTAACTAAAATTTTTTTATTTCTTTTTATTTTATATTAATTTTAAATTTGCATAAGTTTTTAAATTTTATCAGGGAAAACAATACAAGATACCGACATAATAGCTTCATTGGACGTTGTTTCATTATTTACTAATGTTTCCGTAGATCTTGCATTAAACGGTATCAATAATAGATGGCATTTTATAGAGTCACACACAAAGATTCCCAAAAATGAATTCATAGGTATGATAAAATTTATATTAACTTCTACATTTTTCACTTTTAATAACATAACTTACAAACAAATTTATGGGACTCCTATGGGTTCCCCACTTTCTCCGATCATTGCCGATATAGTCATGCAGGACTTGGAAACATTAGTAATTAGTAATTTAAATTGCGAAATGACTTTCTATTTCCGTTATGTAGACGACATTATTTTATGCACTTCCGCTGACAATATTACATATGTTTTGAACGAATTCAACAATTATAACGATAGACTACAATTTACATTGGAAAAGGAGGATAATCGTTGTATAAGCTTTTTAGACATAATGATCAAAGTAATAGATAACAAAATTTATTTAGATTGGTATCACAAAAAGACATTCTCAAGTAGATTACTTTCATTTTTTCAAATCATCCGACTTGTCATAAAATAGGAACAATTTATAACTTGGTAGATAGAGCTTTATTACTATCACATCCGCAATTTCACAAAAAAATATAGAGAAAGCTATTAACATTTTGCTATCCAACGGTTATCCTCTTGATCTAATTTTCACAGAAATAAAACGCAGATTAAAAAATCTCTCAACTAAGAAATTTAACAAGCCTAATAATAACAATATAACAGATACCAATAATACTAATACTAACATTAAATATTTTGTCATACCATATATAGAATCAATATCTGAGAAAGTTGCTTCAGCAATAAGAAGACCTGACGTAGTGGTAGGATATCGTTGCATTAAAAAATTAAATGACTTCATAAAAGTTCAAAAGGACAAAAATAATTGCCCCACGAATTCTAACGTTATTTACAAATTGAATTGCAACGATTGTGACGCCACATATGTCGGACAGACAAAAAGACAGTTAGGAACGAGACTTAAAGAACATAAAAATAATATTAAATTAGACTCTGCTAGACATTCGGTTATCACGGAACACATTCTAAACGAACAACATATATTTGACTGGGACAATATTAAAATTATGGATCATGAAAAGAATTACCATAAAAGACTAATATCTGAAATGATCCACATTAAAGAACAGAAAAATGGAATTAATTTAAATACAGACACCGAATTGTTAGACAGTAGTTATTTTGACATACTTAAAAAATTTGCTGAATCCTAATTTAGAAAAAACATTGGTAATAAATAAATACATCACGCTCTCTATTTTGACATTTGGTATTCAGACTTCGCAACACACACTTGAAATATCGGGGAAAAGGACTTGTTAAAACGATAATGTAAGTTGAAAGATTTTTTAATTTTCTCTGACATTGATTTAATTCGCGTATTATATCCGTAGCAGCTCAAATGTCGCATAACTTGGCATCTCAGACCAATCGCCTTGCATATCTATTGGTCAACAGCGAAGAATCGTTTCAATTTTATATTTTAATATTTAACTAACTATGTATTTTTAACATCTAACTTTATATTTTAATATTTAATTTTTATGTATTGATAAAGACTGTAGTGCAGTCGAAACGTTTACAATTTATATCGATTCTGTAACGGAATGTTAATTTAATGATTTAACTATTAATAAAAAAATTTTTACATCTTATTTATTTGCTCGTTTAGTTGGCCTACTATATATGATTGTTTAATTTTGTTTAATTTATACGAGCCTTTCATTAATTAATTTTAAATTTTAATTTTTTATAAAAATGTTTATTTATTCGCGCAATTTTTGGACATTATTTTTTGTAGAGATATTAATTTTAGAACATAAATTTTTTTCAATTGATATATTTTTTTATTTAAAAATACTTTTTTGTTTAACACTTTTTCACATGGCGCATGGACTTGGCATCTTGTTTATCTTTTTTTTTAAAAGATAAGTTTTTTTATGTACGATTCTACATTTTCAAATTTAAATTTTTACTGATTCATTATACGACTCTATATATGTCTGCAACTTTAATTTTCCACTGGTACAAGTTTCTACTTTCACTTGTCGCAATTTTTTTTTATTTCATTACTTTTGTTACGATTGTACATGGGTTTATAATCGATAATTTTTCATACAATTCTATTGTACATGGGTTTGGAATGTAGGATTCTACATAAGTTTGCAATGGATAATTTTTAATACAATTCTACATGGATTTGCAATGGTTAATTTTTCATAGGATTCCACATAGGTTTGCAATGGATAATTTTTGTTAATGGCGTGCCCTTAACTGGTCGCCTTTTTTTACCTTTTTTTAAAGGTGAGTTTTTAGAGATTATATCATTCATTTTTGTATATGATAAGCATCTTTACATATCATAAATAAGCAAAGAACCGCCACCACCCCCGTCATATTTCAAAATACGACGGTTCTCTTTGCTTATTATTGTATAAATAAAAATAACTATCTTGTATTTTAAGTAAAAAATATTTTTTTGCACTTCACGAATAATGCAGAATGTAAAGCGTTGTCATGAAATTGCTAATATATTACGAAACCTTTTTTTATATAGGACTAATCGAAATAAAATATTAAATAATTAAATAGTAATAGTCATAAACTTGATATTATAAAAATCTATTTAGGAATAATTTTATAACTACTTTATTTTATATCGAATTAGTATTATTTATTACCTATTTTTTGTAAAAATATTATATAAACATCTTTAGCACCTCTAGGCCACTGTCTCTTTTTTACTTCTGCATCATCTATTTCGATCCAAATATTAGATAGTCCTTCTCTACATATGCTTACATAATGACCTTCATCGATGCACGAACTATCATAAAGTATAGCACTCATCGTCTTGTACAATTGTCCCGCTATTAATACTTTAGTTGTTAGAACAGCACATAAATTAAATTTGTTTTCTGCTTTTATTAATTTACCATCTTGTGCTAAAAATAGTATTAAACGAATAACAATTATTTCTCTTGTTAATGTTACTTCATTTTTAAATATTTGATCAGTTCCAGTACAATATTCACATGATTCGTTGTGTAAGTGAAACCAATGTAAAAATGTAGAATTTAATAATTTATTAAGATTACAACTTTTTTTCTTTAAATTATCAAAGGAAATTGAAATAGCAATATTATTTTCAACAATAGTTTTTGTATTACCACATGTTTTGCATCGCTTGATAGAAGTTACTTGATGTTGTATCAAATTTGTAATGCAATCATATTTTCGCAAAGTGCCGTAAGAAAATCGTACGCGTTTCGTCTTACCATACTCAAAAAATATTCTCCTAAACATTGCCGTATTGCATATGTATTTAGATTACGCATTCCATTTTCATATCGATGCATTAATATACGTAAAACGTCTGTTTTATCGCAATTAATCAACTGCTGCCTAATAATATTTAAATGTAATAAACATTGCAATACTGTATTTGCATAACATGAAATCTTGTCTGTATTCTGAAAACCACGTATGATCCAAGCAGTGCTTTAAATTCTTTTATTTGAAACCGTATGTTGAATTTTTCGATCTGAATTTGATTTTTGAACAGAAGTAACTATTTTTGGTAACGCCCATGGAACATCTTTTACTTTACGACAACGTTCTTTTGACACAGCAATCATTTCTGCTTTCGGATTGTATATCTGTTTTAAACGATTATATTTAATAATAGCTTTTTCGTTAGCTATTACTGCTGAAGGATCAAAGTTTATTAAATGCACTCCTTCTAGAGATGTTACTCGCGACAAGGCAACATAAATTTGACCACAACTAAATACAGAGTTGCCAATATCCATAACAACACTTTGCAAACTTAATCCTTGGCTTTTATGAATAGTGATGCCATAACTTAAAGATAATGGAAATTGTTTTCGAATCACATACGCTCTATCCAATACCTGAAATTTAGCCGTTACTCTTTCAATTTCATATTCTAAACCTGATGGTAAAAGAAGTTTAATCTTTTCTACGTCATCAGTAGATGTTTCTCGTACAATTGAAATTACTTTAGCAATTGTACCGTTTACAAGACCCAAACTGGCATCGATGTTACGCCGAATCATAACTTTTGCTCCAATTTTAATTGTAATTTGTTTTGAAAGTCCAGCTGTTCAAGAACTATCATCATCGTTATTTGACAATACTTTTAATACTTTCTTTTTTTACATATGATGTACAATCAATCGTATCTTCAGCAATTAATAATATTTCTTTGGAAGTAATGCGACTTAACATTGCATTATTAAGGACATCACACATATTACAAGTAGGAAATAAACAAACAGTGTCCGATGATAAACTGTTAATAAAATCACATAATTCATTTAATCTAGATTCGAAAGAATCAGCTTTAAAAGATATTTTTCTACTCTCTAGAATTTTACAATCAGATTTTGTCACTAAACCAATACGAATTCGCGACAATAATTCACGGTATGAATTATCTCCTTGCTGACGCATATTGATTATCAATTCATCATATTCAAATAATGTAATCCATAAATTAACAGCATTTAAAGAACCAAGATAATTAGCAATTTTTTGATCGGATAAATGTGTAAAAATAAGATCTTCGCGTACAGGAGGCAATTGAAGCAAGTCTCCGAATAAAAGAATATGCTTTCGACCAAACCAACCATCATCGCAATTACTAGTATCAAATATCTCAGACAATCGAAGATGAATATATATTAAAGTCAAATTAAATATCATTGACACTTCATCAATTACGAAAAGAATAACATCTTTAAGATCTGTTCGTAAAACTTTTAATACACAATCAGATAATTGTTTATACTTAGGAGTTTGACCATGTTCAACGGGTAATTGAAGCAATCTATGAACTGTCAAACCATCTATATTAAAAATAAATTAATACAATTGTCGCTCGTATATTGAAAACAAAGTGATAAATATAAGGCCAACTTATCGAGCTGAATATTCGAGATGTTCAGTCAACTACCATTTATTACATGTATAAATTATAAAACTACAGTCATTATATTAAAACTAACGCAAATTACAATCATTCTATAAACGTTTCGACCGCACGCGGTCTTCTTCAGTATAATTATTGAAATATAAATTCTTACAATTCACATAATATCGAAATTTAATTATAGTTATTCAGAATCAAGAGTTTTTGAGCAATTAACGCGTGTTTCAATCCGTCCTGTCCAACAATGTTCGCCTCGATATGATCCCTGATTTTGTTCAGATCTCGGATAGTTTCATCGTTAATATGCGAGAAATTAACCCGTTCCGTAGGCGCTGCGATTAATAAAAAATTACCGATCAACGTATGTCCAAATTATAATATGTATCCCCTACAATTGGTAGTATGCTTACCTATCATCGTTCTTCTTGACAATTTTGCTACTTATTAACAGTTATTAAGGATGACACATAACAAACCAACAATACAGAAAGACAGCTCATTTTAAACTCTACTTGATCGGAGAGCGTGCGTGTTTATATATGATCTAATATCTATGTTTTACTCGTTAATGTCCTATTTGTCCTATTATTATTTCTTGTTCGCTAATATATCCAAAATATCAAAATACGACTCGCTAAGTAACTCAGTATCTTTGTTTAAATTTAGTCCATTTTTTTGTTCCTTGATATGTAGCATCTCAGAAATGAGTCTTTTATAATAATTATTTTCGTTGTCCATGATCTTAACATTGTCCCAATTAAAAGTATGATGTTCATTTATTATGTGTTCAGAAATTACTGAATGTTTCGTTGAGTCCAACCTAATATTATTTTTATGTTCTTTTATTCGCGTCTGCAATTGCCTCTTTGTTTGGCCTACATAAGATGCATTACAATTATTGCAACTGATCTTATAAACCACATTCGAATTGCATGGATGTTTAGTTTTATCTTTCTGCGCTTTAATAATATTATCCAGTTTGTTGAGACATCTATACCCTACCATACAATTTTTATTTTTTACCGAGGAAACAATCATTTCTGAGATCCCATCTATATACGGAATGACAAAGAATTTTTTATTGACCGAGTCATTTCTTATACTTTTTGTTCTTTCTATGTTGGCCTGTCTCTCTATAATGCTCCCCTTAGATATGATGTGTTCTATCCGATGATTAATTTTGTTAAAAATCAGATCAAGAGGGTAACCATTGCTTCTGAGTATATTAATAATTAACTCCAAATTTTTATTAAAAAATAGTGGATGTGATAGCAATAGACATCTGTCTACAAGGTTATATATTATTCCAATTTTGTGGCATAATGGGTGGTTTGAATAAAATGATAACGTCCTTCCTGAGAAGGTTTCTTTTTGATACCAGTCTATATATATTTTGTTATTAATAATTTTAAGTGATAAATCTAAGAAATTCAAGCTATGGTTAACCTCTTGTTCGACCGTGAATTTAAGTCTTTCATGATAGTTGTTAAAATTATTCACAATCTGAGTCATATTAGTCATAGAGGTGGCCACTATTATGTCATCCACATAACGAAAATAAAACAAACATTCCAAATTCAACGCTTTGAGAACTGTATCCTCAAGATCTTGCATAACCAGGTCTGCAATAATTGGTGATAACGGTGACCCCATAGGGGTCCCAAACGTCTGTTTATAAATTATGTCATCAAATGTAAAATATGTAGAAGTCAATATGAATTTTATACCCCCCAAAAATTCGTTTTTCGGTATTTTAGTATTTATTCCAATGTGATCCCATCTATCGTTAATACCGTCAATCGCAAGATCCAGAGGAACGTTCGTAAACAAAGACACCACATCCAAGGAAACTATCCGAGATCTGAACAAAATCAGGGATTATATCGAGGCGAACATTGTTGGACAGGACGGATTGAAACACGCGTTAATTGCTCAAAAACTCTTGATTCTGAATAACTATAATTAAATTTCGATATTATGTGAATTGTAAGAATTTATATTTCAATAATTATACTGAAGAAGACCGCGTGCGGTCGAAACGTTTATAGAATGATTGTAATTTGCGTTAGTTTTAATATAATGACTGTAGTTTTATAATTTATACATGTAATAAATGGTAGTTGACTGAACATCTCGAATATTCAGCTCGATAAGTTGGCCTTATATTTATCACTTTGTTTTCAATATACGAGCGACAATTGTATTAATTTATTTTTAATATACGCTGGCCTTACAATGCGTCAATTTAACACAAAACGGACTGATTACTATTTTAATTTTAATTTTATTCATAGAGTTTTTGGAAGAATAACCGCAGATTATTTTAAACAATGGATTAATGCGAATTACTTGTTAATAAGAGCGAGAGCAAAATTGGAATTTTTAAGAAATTGTAAAAATGGCGATATTTTTCCTACACATTTAGAAGGTTTTTGCCGCATTAAATTTAACGTTTTTCATCACAGATCGATCAGAAGACTAGATAGTATGTTGTACAAATTCAAAACAAATGCGATGAGCATTGAAATCTTTGATTTGCATAGACAGGTAGAGTCATTACAAAATAGGATTTTTCATCTCACCAGCGGGTTATTTAATCGTTTACCTGTACTCGCGTGGAATAGAATTTTCGAACATCATAACATTGCTTTTAAAAATTGCCACAACAGATTGGTTACTGCACACGAAAAGAAATTCAATTGGCTTAAGAGAAAACAACACTATAAGTATATCAACAGCATCAAACCTATAGATATACATTGTTCTTTACATTTTGAAACTTCACAACCGACGAAAATATCACAAAATTCTCTCAGGGCAATCACTAATGATGCCAAGGAGATCAATATACACATAGAAGCCAATAAATTTCTCAATGATACAATTAACCCTTTGGAAAATACTAATAAAAAATGGTTTGTTAATCTTTCCAACACAGACATTCCGCCTAACGTTTCTAATCTGTTGCAAATGGGTGATAAATTCTGTCTTCCGAATATTAGTAAAAAAACAGCGATACATGAATTCATCAAGGACATAGAGAGTAATAGCAAACGAAATAATATTAATAATCTCACAACGATCAGAAATATCGCGGTTCCAAAATTTGCACAACTTCTGAACACGAAGGATAAAAATGACGTAAGTCAACAAAAATTACTTGGTGCACACAGAGATTTAATAAAATTTTGTAAAGACAATCCGAATGTTCTATTCACACGCGCGGACAAGGGTAATGCTACGGTGGCAATGGAAAGATCTCATTATATTAACAAAATGGAAAACGTTTTAAAAGATGTCAACACTTACACTATTGTTAAAAAAAATCCGTGCAAAAAAATAGAGAACGATTTGAATGATTTGTTGAAGAGATGGCTTAAGGAAGATTATATTTCAAAAAACGAATATTATAAATTACGTTGTAGTGATTCTCTCCTTCCAAAAGCGTATGGATTACCTAAAATCCATAAGGAAAACTATCCAGTTAGAATCATAGTTTCATCGGTTGATACAGCTCTATACTCGCTGGCTTCGTTTTTACAAAACACCTTACGAACTAGCCTACCCAAAGCGAAAAGTCATATTAATAATAGTTTTGATTTGTACAGCATATTGTCTGGTAAAAAGATTGATGAGAATGATAGGATGTTTTCCTTGGATGTGGTGTCTTTGTTTACGAACGTTCCTCTGGATCTTGCGATTGACGGTATTAACGATAGATGGGATCACATTGGAATAAATACTAAAATACCGAAAAACGAATTTTTGGGGGGTATAAAATTCATATTGACTTCTACATATTTTACATTTGATGACATAATTTATAAACAGACGTTTGGGACCCCTATGGGGTCACCGTTATCACCAATTATTGCAGACCTGGTTATGCAAGATCTTGAGGATACAGTTCTCAAAGCGTTGAATTTGGAATGTTTGTTTTATTTTCGTTATGTGGATGACATAATAGTGGCCACCTCTATGACTAATATGACTCAGATTGTGAATAATTTTAACAACTATCATGAAAGACTTAAATTCACGGTCGAACAAGAGGTTAACCATAGCTTGAATTTCTTAGATTTATCACTTAAAATTATTAATAACAAAATATATATAGACTGGTATCAAAAAGAAACCTTCTCAGGAAGGACGTTATCATTTTATTCAAACCACCCATTATGCCACAAAATTGGAATAATATATAACCTTGTAGACAGATGTCTATTGCTATCACATCCACTATTTTTTAATAAAAATTTGGAGTTAATTATTAATATACTCAGAAGCAATGGTTACCCTCTTGATCTGATTTTTAACAAAATTAATCATCGGATAGAACACATCATATCTAAGGGGAGCATTATAGAGAGACAGGCCAACATAGAAAGAACAAAAAGTATAAGAAATGACTCGGTCAATAAAAAATTCTTTGTCATTCCGTATATAGATGGGATCTCAGAAATGATTGTTTCCTCGGTAAAAAATAAAAATTGTATGGTAGGGTATAGATGTCTCAACAAACTGGATAATATTATTAAAGCGCAGAAAGATAAAACTAAACATCCATGCAATTCGAATGTGGTTTATAAGATCAGTTGCAATAATTGTAATGCATCTTATGTAGGCCAAACAAAGAGGCAATTGCAGACGCGAATAAAAGAACATAAAAATAATATTAGGTTGGACTCAACGAAACATTCAGTAATTTCTGAACACATAATAAATGAACATCATACTTTTAATTGGGACAATGTTAAGATCATGGACAACGAAAATAATTATTATAAAAGACTCATTTCTGAGATGCTACATATCAAGGAACAAAAAAATGGACTAAATTTAAACAAAGATACTGAGTTACTTAGCGAGTCGTATTTTGATATTTTGGATATATTAGCGAACAAGAAATAATAATAGGACAAATAGGACATTAACGAGTAAAACATAGATATTAGATCATATATAAACACGCACGCTCTCCGATCAAGTAGAGTTTAAAATGAGCTGTCTTTCTGTATTGTTGGTTTGTTATGTGTCATCCTTAATAACTGTTAATAAGTAGCAAAATTGTCAAGAAGAACGATGATAGGTAAGCATACTACCAATTGTAGGGGATACATATTATAATTTGGACATACGTTGATCGGTAATTTTTTATTAATCGCAGCGCCTACGGAACGGGTTAATTTCTCGCATATTAACGATGAAACTATCCGAGATCTGAACAAAATCAGGGATCATATCGAGGCGAACATTGTTGGACAGGACGGATTGAAACACGCGTTAATTGCTCAAAAACTCTTGATTCTGAATAACTATAATTAAATTTCGATATTATGTGAATTGTAAGAATTTATATTTCAATAATTATACTGAAGAAGACCGCGTGCGGTCGAAACGTTTATAGAATGATTGTAATTTGCGTTAGTTTTAATATAATGACTGTAGTTTTATAATTTATACATGTAATAAATGGTAGTTGACTGAACATCTCGAATATTCAGCTCGATAAGTTGGCCTTATATTTATCACTTTGTCATCTATATTAAATGCTGCTATACCAGTAGGTGCTGTTACAGCAGTATCTTTGTTGAGATTTTGTTTTATCCAGCATTTAATAGTCTTGATTAAGAAACTTTTTCCAGTACCACCTCCTCCGCTAACATATAATCGTAATATTTATTTATCGGACTCAACAGCATTGGGAACTTTATCAAATACTCGTTTTTGATCCGTATTTAATTTTACTATCATGTCAGATACATCAATTTCTTGAATTGCTCTATCACCAAGATCTTTAAAATCTTGCATTGCTTCACCAGCCTCTATATTTTGAATACCTATTGCATTTTCAGAATCATCCTGAGACTGATCTTTTTGCAAATTGTCATCTAAGCATTGCTGAACTAACTGTTTTGCAGTTTCAAATGCTTTTTGTAATTTTTCTAATCTTTCATGATATTGCAATGCTTCTACAAGATGCAGTTTTACTTTGTGAAACGATTCGGTATAAGTAGCATTCATTTTTAAGATCCTCTAATTTTCGCCATGGTTTAAACATAAGCAATAACGCAAAGAAATAATTTTCCGGCTGTGTATTAACATTATATCTAAAATGATTAATAAGATATCCGCGCTGTCGCCGTTTAAGATAACAACCATTACCTATTTTATAATATTCAATAAACTTATTTTTCGGTTTGATCTTTGAGATATCGTACCACTGTGCAAATTCATAAAGAGATGTATTTTCTAATTCGTTTGGTCTATGTGGATAATGATCATCTGTCAAAGATTGATAAAATACATCTGTAGATTCAGGATCAAGAGCTTCAATTTCTTTACGATTTTTAATTTTCTATATTGTATTTGATTAACATCTAACCATCTGATGGTTGTATTTCGATCAGTTCCATACAAAGGAATACCTAACAATGTATCAGCAGCTTCGAGAGCTCCACATTCTCTATTATTCGTAAATCGCAAAGCAATATTCCAAAGATGACTCGCTAATGATTTGTTTTTGTTGTCCTTACTATCAAGAATATTCTCAGATAATTCACTTTTCCCGCTTTATTCATATATTTAGTAACATACCAGGTTAGCAGCAATGATTTTTCACCAATAAATTGTATATCCATATTACCTTCCCATGCAGTAAGAAGAACAGGATTATAGTCATTTATATTACCTTCATTATCCGTTCGAGGAAGATCGTAAAGTCTACTTTTATGTTTCAATTGTTTTCTACCGGCTATCGAAGTTGCCACATCCCTGATATTCAAAGTTTCAGTAATGGGACGAGGAAATCCAAAACGATATCGACGAATAACTTTACGTCCTACTTTTTTAGAACGAAGACAATAATCATTATGTGTATGTCGCTGATGCGTATCAACACGTCTGTACAACAATGGCGAAATATTTTGATCCGGTATTGTGCAGCTTATATGTTGTGAAATAAATTTGGAAACTTCCTCAATAGTAGATTCACCGAAAATTGGTGCATTTTTAATCCAAATTAATAAGTGAAAATGTTGTATACCTCTACCTTGATATTCTCGTCGCCAGAAATAGTGCGTTACTTCTCCAATTGGATGATCTTTAGACCTAATGAAATCAAGCATTGCCCGAAACTTATTATCGAGAAACCTGGATGTTGATACTGGATCTCTAACAACGAGTGCGCTAACGCTTAAGGAAGCGTCATGCCATTTATCTACTTCACGAATATATTCACCTAAATCTTCCCACAACCACTCACTTGGACTGAGTGTTAAAAACCATGTCGCAGGTCCATAATGCTGCGTCATACAATTTAAATCGTTTCTCGGTTTACACCAATATTGCTCCGTATTTCGAAGTGTGGCAAATATTGTACTCAAATTAGATTCCAACAATTCTTTCGACATTGCGTCTAGGTATTCTGCGGCTGTATAACGAAGTCGCGGATTAGTTACATTAATTTTATGAAAAATTCCACGACTTAATTGACGCATATTTGCATCGTTCAATAAATAAAATACATATTGTAGATTTAATCTATACTGTGGATGTTTAAATGTCAAACGACATTTAATAAATTCATGATCATGAAGTTTAACTTGTCTAAAATTAATTAATGAAAGGCTCGTATAATTTAACAAAATTAAACAAATCATATATAGTAGGCCAACTGAACGAGCAAATAAATAAGGTGTAAAAATTTTTATTAATAGTTAAATAATTAAATTAACATTCCGTTACAGAATCGATATAAATTGTAAACGTTTCGACTGCACTACAGTCTTTATCAATACATAAAAGTTAAATATTAAAATACAAAGTTAAATGTTAAAAATACAAAGTTATAATAGTTAAATATTAAAATATAAAATTGAAACGATTCTTCGCTGTTGACCAATAGATATGCAAGGCGATTGGTCTGAGATGCCAAGTTATGCGACATTTGAGCATGCTACGGATATAATACGCGAATTAAATCAATGTCAGAGAAAATTAAAAAATCTTTCAACTTACATTATCGTTTTAACAAGTCCTTTTCCCCGATATTTCAAGTGTGTGTTGCGAAGTCTGAATACCAAATGTCAAAATAGAGAGCGTGATGTATTTATTTATTACCAATGTTTTTTCTAAATTATGATTCAGCAAATTTTTTAAGTATGTCAAAATAACTACTGTCTAACAATTCGGTGTCTGTATTTAAATTAATTCCATTTTTCTGTTCTTTAATGTGGATCATTTCAGATATTAGTCTTTTATGGTAGTTCTTTTCGTGATCCATAATTTTAATATTGTCCCAGTCAAATGTATGTTGTTCGTTTAGAATGTGTTCTGTGACAACCGAATGTCTAGCAGAGTCTAATTTAATATTATTTTTATGTTCTTTAAGTCTCGTTCCTAACTGTCTTTTTGTCTGTCCGACATATGTGGCGTTACAATCGTTGCAATTCAATTTATAAATAACATTAGAATTCGTGGGGCAATTATTTTTGTCCTTTTGAACTTTTATGAAGTCAGTCAATTTTTTAATGCAACGATATCCTACCACTACGTCAGGTCTTCTTATTGCTGAAGCAACTTTCTCAGATATTGATTCTATATATGGTATGACAAAATATTTAATGTTAGTATTAGTATTATTGGTATCTGTTATATTGTTATTATTAGGCTTGTTAAATTTCTTAGTTGAGAGATTTTTTAATCTGCGTTTTATTTCTGTGAAAATTAGATCAAGAGGATAACCGTTGGATAGCAAAATGTTAATAGCTTTCTCTATATTTTTTTTGTGAAATTGCGGATGTGATAGTAATAAAGCTCTATCTACCAAGTTATAAATTGTTCCTATTTTATGACAAGTCGGATGATTTGAAAAAAATGAAAGTGATCCACAAGGAAAATATTCCTTTTAGATTAATAGTTTCCTCAATAAATACTTCTCTATATAATATTGCTTCTTTCTTTCATAAAATTTTAAAAGATAGCCTTCCTAGAGCGGACAGTTTTGTAAATAACAGTTTTGATATATGCAACATTTTATCAGGGAAAACAATACAAGATACCGACATAATAGTTTCATTGGACGTTGTTTCATTATTTACTAATGTTTCCGTAGATCTTGCATTAAACGGTATCAATAATAGATGGCATTTTATAGAGTCACACACAAAGATTCCCAAAAATGAATTCATAGGTATGATAAAATTTATACTAACTTCTACATTTTTCACTTTTAATAACATAACTTACAAACAAATTTATGGGACTCCTATGGGTTCCCCACTTTCTCCGATCATTGCCGATATAGTCATGCAGGACTTGGAAACATTGGTAATTAGTAATTTAAATTGCGAAATGACTTTCTATTTCCGTTATGTAGACGACATTATTTTATGCACTTCCGCTGACAATATTACATATGTTTTGAACGAATTCAACAATTATAACGATAGACTACAATTTACATTGGAAAAAGAGGATAATCGTTGTATAAGCTTTTTAGACATAATGATCAAAGTAATAGATAATAAAATTTATTTAGATTGGTATCACAAAAAGACATTCTCAGGTAGATTACTTTCATTTTTTTCAAATCATCCGACTTGTCATAAAATAGGAACAATTTATAACTTGGTAGATAGAGCTTTATTACTATCACATCCGCAATTTCACAAAAAAATATAGAGAAAGCTATTAACATTTTGCTATCCAACGGTTATCCTCTTGATCTAATTTTCACAGAAATAAAACGCAGATTAAAAAATCTCTCAACTAAGAAATTTAACAAGCCTAATAATAACAATATAACAGATACCAATAATACTAATACTAACATTAAATATTTTGTCATACCATATATAGAATCAATATCTGAGAAAGTTGCTTCAGCAATAAGAAGACCTGACGTAGTGGTAGGATATCGTTGCATTAAAAAATTGAATGACTTCATAAAAGTTCAAAAGGACAAAAATAATTGCCCCACGAATTCTAATGTTATTTATAAATTGAATTGCAACGATTGTGACGCCACATATGTCGGACAGACAAAAAGACAGTTAGGAACGAGACTTAAAGAACATAAAAATAATATTAAATTAGACTCTGCTAGACATTCGGTTGTCACAGAACACATTCTAAACGAACAACATACATTTGACTGGGACAATATTAAAATTATGGATCACGAAAAGAACTACCATAAAAGACTAATATCTGAAATGATCCACATTAAAGAACAGAAAAATGGAATTAATTTAAATACAGACACCGAATTGTTAGACAGTAGTTATTTTGACATACTTAAAAAATTTGCTGAATCATAATTTAGAAAAAACATTGGTAATAAATAAATACATCACGCTCTCTATTTTGACATTTGGTATTCAGACTTCGCAACACACACTTGAAATATCGGGGAAAAGGACTTGTTAAAACGATAATGTAAGTTGAAAGATTTTTTAATTTTCTCTGACATTGATTTAATTCGCGTATTATATCCGTAGCATGCTCAAATGTCGCATAACTTGGCATCTCAGACCAATCGCCTTGCATATCTATTGGTCAACAGCGAAGAATCGTTTCAATTTTATATTTTAATATTTAACTAACTTTGTATTTTTAACATTTAACTTTGTATTTTAATATTTAACTTTTATGTATTGATAAAGACTGTAGTGCAGTCGAAACGTTTACAATTTATATCGATTCTGTAACGGAATGTTAATTTAATTATTTAACTATTAATAAAAATTTTTACACCTTATTTATTTGCTCGTTCAGTTGGCCTACTATATATGATTTGTTTAATTTTGTTAAATTATACGAGCCTTTCATTAATTAATTTTAATAAACGCTGGCCTTATAATGCGTGGGACTAATTACCCGTTTAAATACCATCGTTTTAATTCTAGTTTTATTTATAACTATTTTGGTCTAGAAACGTTAAAACATTTTAAATCTTGGCTAAATTTTAATTATGCGATAATTAAAGCAATGTCGAAGTTGAAATTTTTAAGGGAATGTAAGAGATATTGTTTGTTTCCCAACCATTTGCGTAATTTCTGTAACAATAAATTTGTTTTCTACCACTATAAATCAAAAAATAGGATGCGTGGTTTGTTGTATAATATCAGAACTGAAATTCTTAACATAGAGATATTTGATTTATATAGAACTTTAAACTCACTTAATAAAAAACGGTCAAGGCAATTCCAAATTCTCCAAAATCTTTTACCATCTTATATCTGGCAGGAGATTTTAAATCACCATTGCAACTCCTTTTCTTTGTTCAACCAAAAATTATATCTCATACACAATAAAAAATTCCTATGGCTACGTAAATCGCATGAAACAGAGTACATTAAAAATATTGATCCTATCGAATTGAAAACAATATCATCGACAAATATTGTTGATAACACTGTTTCTGCCAACAGTTTTCGTTTTGCTACACATAACCCTTTACAACAAACTAACCAGAAATGGTTTATTAATTTAACTGATAAAAAAATTCCCCCCAATGTAACCAATCTATTACAATTGGGAGGTGAATTTAGTCTCCCAGTTAACTTAAATAAAAAAGTAGCTATACACGAATTCATCAAAGATATAGAAAGCAATTCTAATGGGATCAGAAATCTTACTTCGATTCGTAATGCTGCCATTCCACAATTTTCATTATTTTTAAACAATAACGACAAAAAAACGGACATACAAGAAAAATTATTTCACATGCATAAAGACACAATTAAATTCTGCAATCAAAATCCTAATATTTTATTTACTAGAGCAGATAAAGGCAGCATTACAGTCGCACTAGAAAAAGAATTTTATATAAAAAAAGTTGAGAGTCTCCTAGAAGACGATTCTACGTATACCATAGTTAAAAACAATCCATCAACAAAAATAGAAAAAGAACTCAATATTTGTTTAAAAAAATGGTTGAAAAAAGACTTCATCAACAAAAAAGAATATTATTATTTATTTTCAAGCGACTCTCTTCTTCCTAAAGCCTATGGGCTCCCCAAGATCCACAAGGAAAATATTCCTTTTAGATTAATAGTTTCCTCAATAAATACTTCTCTATATAATATTGCTTCTTTCTTTCATAAAATTTTAAAAGATAGCCTTCCTAGAGCGGACAGTTTTGTAAATAACAGTTTTGATATATGCAACATTCTATCAGGGAAAACAATACAAGATACCGACATAATAGTTTCATTGGACGTTGTTTCATTATTTACTAATGTTTCCGTAGATCTTGCATTAAACGGTATCAATAATAGATGGCATTTTATAGAGTCACACACAAAGATTCCCAAAAATGAATTCATAGGTATGATAAAATTTATATTAACTTCTACATTTTTCACTTTTAATAACATAACTTACAAACAAATTTATGGGACTCCTA